AAAGTACGCGATGGTGGATTTCTGAGTATACAAGGAAATTGAGGAATCTTCACAATGTTAACTGAATTAGTCTGACCTGATTTGAATGACGATCGTATTTGCAGACGTCATTGATGAGATAACACATGGAAATCTTAATGGAATGCATTCAAAATAGGCTCCTTTAAAAGCTAAAACAATGTCTCAAAGGCAAAAAGGGGTAATCCAATATCCATGTACTGGTTAGCATATTCTGATGAAAATGACGAATTAGCAAGGCCTACTGTGCAAGAAATAGTGCCATTAGCTATTTCTAGTGCAACAACTACATTCACATATCTGAAATTTGTATCGGTTTTAGGATTGAGTGGTGAACATGCGCACACAAGGCTCAAGCTCAGTTGAGCTACTGATCTCTAATTTCTTTTTTTTTTCAGCGGTTACTAAAGAAAGTGATCGGCGCTGAGTTTATTGCTATTGGATTGATGCTGTATGCGGTAAATATGCTGGATTTCAAGACAATGGGCGAGAGTCTCTCGGTGTGATTTGTGTCGTTCTCAACATCGCCAGCATCGGAGCACCGTTATTTCAAATCGGCGAGGTTCGTATCATTAATGATGTGATCTGGTGAGACAAACCATTGGCGGCACGTCAGATAGTTGACTAGTGCGCGGTTGGCGTTCAATAAAAAATGGCAGTTCCAGTGATTTCGACATTTACGAAGGTCATTTTGACTTTGTATAATCACTTCATTATATAAACCACAACTTTGGTGTGTTTCTGTCCGTCCGGACGAACCGCTAACAGAACCGAGGAGTTCGAAGCAGGGTCAACCGTCCGTTCGAACTGTTCGAACGAAGGGGTCGCATTTTGGTCGGAAGGGGGTCGCAATTTCGAGGACTGCCAGCCACAGGCGCGTGCGTGGCGTATCCGAGGGCAAGAATTGTTTGTGCAGACCGCATTAGATTCGATTAATTATGCACAGAGAGACAGTTTTAGGCAAATTACGGTGTTTTCCTTGAGGAATAAAGAACAGTTGAATGCATCCCTATGAAAGGTTTGACTTCTCGGGGCTGAAATTAAAGTTCTTCGGGACCTAATTTTCTGAGGACGATTCTTCCAGACAACGGTAAAACACATAAGAAAGCAGAAATCTCGTAGTCTTCAAAAATGTCTTCGCCCCTCCCCAACAAGTTCTTTGAAGGAAGTTATTATTGCTGAAAGCTCAAAAACTCGCATGTGCTGCTCAAAACCTATGGGAACAAAATGTTCGAACGTGTGATTTTCTCGGAAAATGGATTTTGAAAAACGGTTTGGTGCTTGTAGAAAGAGCAAATCCTGTACTTTCACCCCATGAAAAAAGTGCATCACAGAAATGAAAATGAAGTGAGTTATGGTCGCTGAAAGCCCAAAAACTCGCTTTTGCACGAAAAATGTTCGAACGGGACAATTTTTTGAAAAAGGGGACAATCACTAAACTTTTTATACTGTTTTGTTAGAGAAATATTTGAAGTTTCTGAAACTTTTACAGATTTCCAAAATGTCGCATACGAAAGATTTTATGGGCCTTCAAAGTTGAAGGTGCGCCTTCTTAGAATTTTGGGTTTTCCACTTCTAACAGAAGTACTTTCCGGAGAGTTAGGCAATCCTTGTAGTTTTCTGGAAGCGCACCTCAGGCACAATCAAAATCTACCTCAACAAGTCAAAAAAATACGTCCCAAGAAAGTTATTCCCCTCTAAAATTTTTTCTTCGCCGCGTCCCGTTCTTCCAGCGCCCGGGTGATACCTGCCGCGCTCCAAGGCCGACGCGACGACGCGCAGACGCTTTCTGGCGCAACGGATTCATGTCTAGCACTCTTATTAACAAAAACAGGGGGTCGCAACTGGACCCCCTCGAGAGCTAGGGGGTCGCAAAATCCCGAAAATGTTCGAACGTGACGGTTGACCCTGGTTGAAGGCTCACTCGTGATGTTGATGTCGCTGTTTAATAACACCCTGCGGCCGATATACAGACTTGTCGACACATCACTTCATTAAAAACCTGGTGCTGCAGTAGCAGCTGGAGGGCGGGTAGAAGGGAGGGAGCAGGAAAGGGGGAGGGCAGGAAGGCGGAGGAGGGAGAAAGGGAGGAAGAGGGAGGGGAGAGGAGAAAAGTGGGGGAGGACATGGTGCTGCCGTGACAGCCGGAGGGGCAAGAGGGAAGTGTAGAAGAGGTGGCGGGTGGGAGAGAATGCAGGGAGGGAACAACCGCTGTAAGAGGAAGGGCTATATCCGCGTTGACGTATTACTTCTGACGTGAATAGCGAAGACGTGAAGCGTACGCAGGAAAGCGACGTCCCGGCGGTTGACGGGAGACCAATCTGGTTTCATATAAATCTGTGGAAGGACTCGTAAAAGTGTCAGGATTCAAGTCCTTCCATAGCGAAAAGGCTAATTGGAAAAGCAAGACATCTGATTTTTTTCGAAATTTTTTTTCTTGTGTTTAACACCATTGCGCGACCGCCGTTGTATGAGCACGCTCCGTTAGCTTTTTATATTTTATCGAAAATGAAGCACCATTAATCTCTACAGCTTTATGTATCTATATAGGTTTCCCTACCATGAAAATGAGTGCAAACACTTCAGGAACATTCAAAAATGTCAAATAGATTATATAAAACTAGGCTCCTTTGTGCGAAATCGTGCGCCACATGGTGGCGCACGCGTTACGCAATGTGTTAAACAAGCTACAACATTAGTGTTGTTATAATGAGTTCTGGATAGCGTTGTACACCGATGGCATTACATTTCAACTTGGAAGTGAGCCATTTTCCAACGTTTCATCGAATAACTTGTGAACCATATTAGTAGAGATACTTGTTCGTGGACGAGCTTGAACATGGGTTGAGAACAGGGTCAGCCGCATTCTTTCAAAGATTTTGCGACCCCCTTCCCCTTTATGAGGTCTCAATGCGACCTTCCCCCTCCCCGAAATCACAAATGCGACCCCTTCGTATTCGAAGAAGTTGCGATAGTGCGTACGGACGGATGAACCCTGGAGCGAAGTGAGAGGGTGCTGACCGGAATGGTCCATGAAATGTAATCCCTGATCGGAATGCGTTCAGGCCATGTAATAGAAAATAAGAAATCTGCGTGAACGATGTAATCAGAACGGTTTGTTTCGAACTATTCCAAGTTTCACCGTACCCTTGTGTCATTCATTACTGGCTAGATTCCATCTACTGAAAGTACCAAACAGTGCTTGTTTAGCAAGTTCGCATGGACCAAACCGCAGTTGGAATGTCAATGCGTTTTAGTATAGAAGTAGAATGCGTGGCACTATCTGAAAAGGATTGATGAGCGCGGATAGTCAACTCGAAAGTTGAACATTTTCTTTAAATTTAGAGGAGGCTATGCGCAATATGGAAAGTATATGTATAGTAATATGTATGTGGGGAATTATATGTATAGTTGCACACGAAGCAGTAGCTCGGCTGCCAAGGAAGCGAGGTGTGGCACTATTACGGCAAAAGATGCCCTGATTGCTGAATAGTACTTAAAAAGCTCCGCCGCAAAAGCACTCCGCTCCAGTACTTGAGTTAGTTGGTGATTTGGGCGAGCTGTGCTGCCAGAAGCGACATAACTGGAGCAACTCGCTGGAGCATGGATTGGCATGGTTCGACCTAGCGCTTTGTTATAAACTCGTTCATACTTTCGCCATCGTAACCGCTTGCCCGTCAAGGGCCACTTGGGGGAGGGGTCTCGCTTTGAATTTCCGTGACGGATTTCTCTGCTTTTTTCGCCGCTGGCGTATCATTGAAACTCCCATGTCCCCTCCTAACCACTCTAGAATCTATCGCAGTCGCTGCCTTTAATGATTGCGTCGCTGGTAGCAATTTACATATTACTGATTTTGCTTTTGACTCTGATACAGTTGAGAGAAGCCATCTTCAAGGGTAGCATGAATATGTGGTGCCTAACAAAAATGAGCAAAAAGTCAGTTTCTCTGACCTACATATGTGTTACACAAGGACTAATTTATTCTCAGCCTTAGAAGCTTCTGATGATAACCATGAATAATTAACAATTATTTAAGGTTATTCGAACGAAAAACTCGGAATCGTTACCACTTCCTTTGTGTTTGGCATGTTTCGCTGTCAGTTTACAATGGTTGCTGTATGGAGTGCTTGTGAAAGACTACGTCATACAGGTATGCATTTATACAGTTCCTATATATGGTTGACAGCTAATCATAAGTGACAATAACGTAAAGAGGTCTTACGATGTAGGAGGAAGCCGTCATGCGGCGATGCGCGCTTTCGTCAAGAATTTCATGCTTAGCAAGTGAAACAGGGCTTTCATATTGCGTGGGAAGCGGTGGAGACGTAGACTATGCAAGATAGCACGCACCTGTTTGAGAGCAAAGGCGGAAGGGAGGGGCGTTCCTTGGATCTTCGCCGCCGACGCGGCAACGCAAATTTCCGCGTGGTGAATCATGGCCACAAATTGGGCTCGTAGGCTACCGTGTGGAGCTCCGAGCTCGTCTAGGCCTATGAGCCCTTATACTTGTGCAGATCTCACTTGCCATCACTACCGCGTCTAACTTCATGGCTCTCATTATTTTTGAAATTGGAACCTATCACAACATGACATTTCAGGTACCAAACTACATAGCGACGTTGCTATCAGTAGTGCAGTTGTCACTGTTTGTTATTTATCCGCGACGACCAACATTTGTCGAGATGGAGGAGCCGCTTTATTCTGTAAATAAGAAGACAAATCATGACTTGTAAATAAGAGACGAGAATAAAATATCATTACGAAACAGTACCAAGGAGAATGTGTCACAAGGGAAAAGCTTTTGGATATCTGTTGAGCTGTGAGGGAATGAAGCCTCCTGTCCTTGTCAGCAAGATGGTACGAGTGTTTCATGATGCTCCGCATGCTTTATAAAATCGCTCATGCTGTGACACAAATTGATGGGTCCCAAATGAAGAAATTCCAACGCTAAACGCCCACCGCAAAAATGCGGACCTTAAACCCGTGTACTGCCTATCTAGCATGGCAGACGAACGAACTAGAAATAAATCTCCATTTTTAACTGCTCTTAGGCAGAACCCTCCCTTTCAAAAAACGAGAAGAGCGTCGGGTGCAGACCATACACCACAAGTGACGACGGCCTCCAAGTAAATCTGGTTAGTAGTGGTTCATAGTGATAGCTGATTTTTGGTAAATGATAGTTGTAATTAGTGACAACTGATAGAATACAACTGCAACAGGCTAATCATTTCATTGGCAGAAAACATTTACATTTTGTGGAGGCCGTCGTCACTTGTGGTGTATGGTCTGCACCCGACTTTCGTTTTCTGAAAGGGATTATACAGGAATCCAAAATTATGAGCACCGCGTGTGCGCGCGGTCATTTCACTTTTTCCGACAACCTCCATTTCCTTCTTCTTTTTTGTGGCAGTGTGTAAGAGGGTACAATGTCTTCTTTCTTTTGAAGTCAAATATCACACTAAAAAAATACATCGCGGTACGTCAATACTCAAATTGAACTCACTAGGGGCTCTGGCACGTTACATCTAGCAGCAGTTCAACGTATCAGGGAAGCTCTTATGAGCAACAGTTCAACTCTTCAATAAGTTTGGAACCACCACAGATGGAAAATTCGGGACTCGAAAGTTACAGTTACCACCAGGATAATTATCAGATGCAGAAACTAGGTCTCCCCTTGTCGACTTTCGTACCCCAAAATGAAAAAATTGATGTGAAAACCCAGCCAGACACTCTAAAGACTCCACATCTGTAGTGGATAGAAAGCCACTCGAGTAGTCTACTTGGAACTTTTACAGGACCAGCACCCAAGAATAAAGGAAAAATCTTAAAAAGCGATTTTTCGCGTTCTTTGGTTTTGATGAATTGTTACTTAGGAATCGTTCCACTTATTTTCTTCAAAGTTCCTGTATGGTACACCCTGGGCAAGTGCAAATGAAAACCCCACAAAACTTCGATCCCCTGAAGAAGGCAAAGCAGAAGGCCTGGAAACATTTTGACACGCCTTAGTTGCGTGCCACCGCACGCGCCATCCCCTTCATCTGAAGGCTCGTGTAAACGCAGGCAGGTGGCAGATCTCAATTCTATTCTGGAATTACTTTGAGATAAGAGTAACAAACACTTTCCTGAAGCTACAGTGCGTTTTGGACGACATAACGTCTTGGTCCTCATAATTTTGGCTCACCCTGTAAATTCCTCAAGCTTGAAGAAAATGTCGGAGAAAATTAGTTATGTCATAACAATATTTGAGGTTATCCTACGATCGATCCGGTGTGACACTTGTACACGAATATCAAAGCAGGGGGTAAAGTGGCTCTCTGGAGATGGAAAAAAAGGGAAAGGGCCCTCGAAAACGTTGTAATTAGTAATTCACATCAGCTTTGTCCGTTCCGCTGTGCGCTTAAAACTGTAAGTCATGCGATATACACTCTCGCAGCGGCGGAGCATGTGGCTGAGTGGGCACGACGGTTTACAGCAGCCTACAGGCTCGCCCTATTGGGAATAATAGAAGCGGTCGAAACGGCCTCTAAAAGGCCCTCGCGCCTGTGTTGCTCTTTTTCAAGGAGAGTAGGACATCTGCGACTCAAGTGGAGCTCCATCTCACCCACCAGAGAGATGAATCTACTTGAACTTATCTGTAGCGTGCCTTTATGTCTGATGGACAAAAGTGTGATGGTAGTAACAATAGGCAAGGCCATCATATTCATAATCGAGCTACAAACCCCGGCTCACCTGCTCGAGGTACCAGGTTATCAGCTTCATGTACCTGATACCGGATTCTTTTTGGAGGCAAACACATCAAACTTCTATGTATAGACGGTTGGGTCGGATTTATTGCATGGTCTGAACACTGAAATAAGATCCGGTTCTGAATGAAAGTCTGCGTAGCGCATCTCAAACGAGGTTAATATTTTTTATCCTTCAAATTGTCCGACATTTTTGATGCCGATACCGACATCTCAGGATCAGCTTACTTGTAGGTCCGATCCTTCAACGACTCTAACACGGAATGAAATCAATGAAATGTTTCAAGTAGCTGATATACTGTTTTATACAATGCTTATAATAACAACTCAAGTATTATATGGAGCCTGTTAGTCACGATCGTACCGTAAGGCTATATAAATCACTGGAATATACTGCTTGTAGGCATGAATTCTGTAATGTGCATGAAATCTAACTTTAGGGAGCGAAGAGGCACAGATACATTCAAAAGAGCAATTCGTTTTAAAGAATGTCCATTCCCTTCCTGTCGATGGAAGAATTCTTCACTAGCTGCCAGTACTGCTCATTTTTGACTGACTTTCTGAATAGCTAATCATCTATAGAAATTTGGCTTACGTCGCTGTGTTTGACCCGGGACGATCCAGGGACCATGTGCGCGGTAGTGGTCCCTCCTGTCCCCACACCATCTCCGCTCGAATGAATATTTTCGGAATGCGATTCGACAATTTAGCTACCATTTACAAAAACGCATTCTAGTATTAAAAAAGTGCGAAATATGAACACTATTTTTTGCGAGGTGCGCACAATGGCCAGTGACCTCCGGTACGACTTTCTTCAGTAACCCATAAATAACAAAGTTCCCATCTTTGCCCAGTTTCGCCATCAAACGAGCGCTCCTACTCCGTAAGTCCCAGAACTGTGGGAGTGCCTCCTCTCTCCAATGAGTTCTTGAATAGGAGCTAGTCGGTGCTGTTGCGAGCTGCTAGCACTGCTACTGGCACGCGATGGTTCCGGCGTGTTCTCGAAAGACTGCGATTGGCAATGAGTATGAAATAAAGTAGTAGTGTTACATAGTGATTCTGATCCACTAATAGATTGAAGGACTAAGCAGAAGGTTTCTGACGTCGAGATCCACATTTGTCGAGCGGTGAAATGCTTCCAAAATGACTTTTTTCCATGAAAAGTGCGATTATCGTAGCGTGTACGGTAATTTGTCATCTCTGTTGTGTGGCTTACTAGTTGTACATGTGTGGCGATTTTGTTACGGCAAGCACCGTATTTATGAGGCATGTCAGATAAGATCATACAGATGCCGCGCGCAGCGATCATCGTTTACATCCTATCATTCGAGAGCGGAAACTAGTAGTCCACAAGTAAGCCTTCTGCTGTCACTACTAGCTGGAAATGACTTTAATTCGCATTGCCATATCTAGGCTTTTAAAGAGTTCGCCCAAAGGTCATTATACCACAGCTTCTCGGGATGCATAAAAGTGTCATAATATTCCACGATTAGGACTTAATGACTTAACAATAATGGAAAAGGCATGCCATGATCAGAAGATTATTAGATTAGGAAACTGAGGGTTAGAAGATCCCACTTAAACGACTAAATACGTATTTATAATGGAGCTTAGTGCTCCGGTGTGTGTTGCAGATGAAATTGTGGTAGTTCAATGAACGAACAAACTCACAGTTTATTTTTCTTGGCGTTCAGGTGTAATATAGTGGTAGGGTATTGTTCGAGTGTAACGAAAGAAGAGAAGAATCGACCTAACTGATGCATATATAGGCAGTGCCGAGGGCGCCAGATTACAAAAAAATCGATTGCGCGGGATAGTCGAGAGGAACTAGTTAGAGACTTCATATAATTCAATACAACACTGAGTAACGATAAATGTTGGTCACATACCATAGAAAAAACATTTGATAGGTCGGGTTCCATTTCAAGTAGCCGTCTTTCGCACGACCCCTTTCGGAAACACCAGCTCGACGGCTTCGCTGCGCGACAGCGATTTGTTTGCTTCATCTGTGGGCAACATCTTGATGTTTCTGCTCCAGATCTTTGATATAGTACGCTTAAAATCACTGATGCTTATTTTTCTCTTTTTCGACTGCAGTGCTCGTCTCGTAGCGTCCTTGTTTATCGCGTTGTTGGCGTTGCGTTGGCTTGACTTGGTTTCTGGTCTCGAACGGCGGTGGAACTAGCACATTGGATGACGTCAGCAATTTTATCAAGAAATACCTCATATTGCAATGGCATCAATCGGACTTCGCCTACTCTGAGCTAGATTGCGAGGCTTATTGCGGGGTGCTTTATTAGGATTTCTCTCCGATGGAGCTGTAAAATAACAATTCTTGCTTCAAATCCTCTTGCAGACCCGTACAGTGGGTGGCTTTGGATCGATAATTGCAGTTTCAATATGTTTTCCTGTTTATTTTTGGTGTTTTCGGTGCCGTCTTGCTTTCATTCGTGTTTTATTTTCCTCAGAACTTCTTCTTTCCTACATGAAATATTGCCATCGCTCGCTGATGACCTCATTTCGGGT